ATTGAGACCCGCATGCTTTTAAGTAGTGCATAATTCTAGATATCCTTGTTAGTTCGATCTTTGAACACGAAAAGGAGCTGAATTAGGCGCGTGTGAACACCACTGTCTGAAAAGAGATCAAGAGCTACGGCATGAGGTAATGTACAAGTCAATCGTGGCCGTAAGATTGATGCCGCTTTGCATCCTTCTCTGGCGAGTGTGGGTAGAGAGATGCTCTCTTCAACCTCATACGCTCTACCTCACTTTGTCCACCACTCTGTGAACCTTTGGCGACCTCTTGCTTGCTGAGAGATAATGATGTGGCAAAGGTAGGTTTCGGGGTTTGTGGACGCTCTGGTGTGGCGCTTGTTTGATGTGGCTCCGATATGGGTGGGCCTTTCATCTCTAGGAGGCGCCCTAACTGCTCGGAAAGCAGATCGATATCTGCCTTTGCTTGAGCGGCCTTCTCTGCATCAGCAGGGCTGAACATTCCGTGAGTGTCCTTGAGGTAGCGTCCGAGCTGACCGAGCTTCGGTGCCACACAGGCCAGGTCGAATAGCACTCTTGCGAAAGTTTGCTCGTCGATCGCACGCCGAGTGCTACCTGTATGACCAAGCGCTGTGAATATAAACTCGCCGTCTTCGCCAGCGTCCGTTGCCACACTCTCAAGATCGCTGTCGTCGTCCTCTTCCTCCCCGTCTTCTCTGGAGTCTTCCTTCCCCTCTCCGTCCTCGCCCACGTCCTCGTACAACATCTCGTTTGCTTCTCGTATGGCCTCATCTACGACTGCAGCTGGGATGCCTCGCATAACACCAGTTGGTAGGGATGGTGCGACTCCGCCCGTGTCTTGAAGCCGTGAGAAGAGGTCTGTCCGTGTACGTTTCCGTGCTTCGTCCTCCGAGCAAGGCAAAGTGACTGATGGCGTTCTCGGGTCTTCACTGCGGCGCTTGTCGAGCCAAAGGAGCGCGGCACGGAGATGCTTACATGCTCCTCCTCGTTGAGTGAAGTCGGCGCAGTCACAGCAACCCGAACCATCTGTCGAAACCGCGATATTGTACAGGGTCGGATGAGGATCGTAGACAGTTGCGTACGACGAGTAACATGTGAAGAGGAAGCTTTGGGTCCGAAAGTCGAAAGCAGGTACGCTGATTTGATTCTCTTGTAGAAGTTCGGCTGCCGCCTGGTCGCGTGCGGTGTCTTGCACAAAGTAGGCGATAGGCGGTAGAACAGCACGGCCGGCGTTCGATGACAGCCCGCTAACGAGAGCTGTGCCTCCTGGTAGGGTCAACAAGATCCTCCTCCAATGATCCTCCTCCTGTACTTCAAGCGTTCGTTGCTCAAATATCGCCGGAAGAATCTTCGTGACGAGTAGCTTGATGAGCACATCGACTCGGAGACGTCGGTTCCCTCGCTGCCAGCGACGCAGGTGTTTGCGCTTCAAGATTCCGTTAAAGGACTCGAGATGATTCGTCGTGGTGAGTACCCCTTCGATGTCGCAATGAAGGAGTACAGCGGCGTATCGGCGTCCATAGTCCGACCAGCTTCTCCACAGGCTCTCGTCTTTCATCCAGTACCCGTCACCAAGATAACGGAGGTGCTCCAGGCCGTTCGACGCGATCATTGGATAGTCCACCAGCATCCTTTCAAGCACGGCCTTCTCCTTCGCCAACATCTCCCGAGCCTCGTTAAAATTTGTTGTGGCGACGAGTTCGGTTTCGAGGCGGGCCATTCGAGCTTTGAGAGACATGTGGACAGGTGAGCGCCCTCGTAAAAGCTTGTTTCGATGATTTCGCCACGACTGACGAAGATGAAACTTGCAGATCAGGAGCCATATGTCGGGGAACACTCGCATGAGGGCGTTGCGTTCCATGAGATCGGTATCGGTGATCGCTACGGCGGGATTGAAGGTACGTCCATCCCTCTCACCTAGTGAGGTCCTCCAAGCTCTCAGAAGCTTCTCCAGGATCTCCGTATTGTACCCAGCGGCAGTGTGGCGATTACCAGAAGGAGCAGAGAAAAGGAACATTGCGAGAGGTTCGCCGCGACGTTTCTCGTCTAGCCCCATCAGGATAAATAGAAGGATCTTCTTTGTACTGACCCCAAACGTTCCATCCAGGAGAATTTGGCTTCGATCTCCGTGACGCCACGCCGCCTCCTTCATCTCATCAGTCGCAATGCATACTTCAAATCGATCGCCCCGCTCTGCACGCGCAGAATAGTGGAAGATCGCATCCGCGATCTTGGGATTGTATCGAGGCGAGGTCTTGTCCATCCATTCATCGATATTGACATTGGCGGCTTCAGTAACATTGATACCGTGCAGGCAGTTGTATTGCCGATAGAGTGACCGTGTGTCATGGCGCTTCAGGAGCCAACGGTACGCTGACTTGCTCTCGTCCATGTTCGTCGGTTGTCCTTTATATAGACCGGCTTTGAACATCTGAGTATTCTTCTCGTGTATGTTGTCTAGATTGACCCCTTCAGCAAGCTGTTTGAGGGCCACAGCGAAGACGGACGGATGAAGAGGGCAACGGGGTATCTGGCTATACTCAGCGGCTTCGCATGCAGCATTGTGCTTGGAGAGTCCGCGGATTCTAAGGATACGTTGTGTGCTGACGACATAGGTGAGTTCCACATGAGCAGGGCATTCCGTGAACGGTACGGGATTCTGACGGATCTTCGTCCCCGCGGCAGTATGATTATAACCGCAATCGCTGGAAGTTCCGTGTCAGTAAGCTTTTTAGCTAACGCCAATTGATGTGTGCGCACCACTGATAAAGTACACGATGCGTATCATCCCTCCGATTCCCATTTGTCCACCTAACATGCCAGCGGTTGGCGAGTGATTCACGAGTGTCCGTGTCCAGCCCGAGCGACGCCAGCAAAGACGCTGCTTCCACCTGTTCCACGTCAACCATGCATCTGTACATGTTGTCGAAGCCATGGCCTTCCTCATACAAAGTGGAGATTGTCTTCTCTTGTTGTGGAGTGGGTTTTAATTTGTGGATATAGAGCTGTGACACGACATTGCGAGAGGAAAGACCGCTGTCACGACCGGGCAATACGGGAGTGGAAGTACCCCACGGCTCAAGACGAAATAATCGGAAAAGCGGCGGAAAAAGGTGATGGAGGAGTGAGTATATTAGAAAGCCCAGGAATAGACGATCTACAAAACTGAGGAAATACATGTGAGTGCTACGAAGTATTTATACGAGTCTGAGATCGCCCCAACAGTAAGTAGAACGAAAAGCAAGACGAATATTCAAGAGTGAATCAAAGGAGAAAGACAAATAATCGTACACTGAGTTCGTGCCCTAAGGAGAACACTAAGTAACTCGAACAACGTGTCTGTAGCATGTAAACTAAGGAGCCCAAAGGGAGACGAAAAGATAAGACGAGTAACGAAGACTAAGAAAGAGGAAAAACCCATACTAG